CGTTTGTAAGAGCATTTGGCGCAAGCTAGCCACAAGAACCGGTCGGTAATGTCCTTCAGACAAATTGCTCTTTTTGGCGGTCAGCCTTAATCAAGGCTGAACCGAATCAGACTCAAAAAACAGTTAAAATAGGATATAACCACCTTTTTCAGGATATTAATACATGGGCAAGTGGGGGACTCGAACCTACATCAACTGTTATGTTGCATTACTTTGTCTTAGTCGGCTTGGCCATCGGGTCTAATTTTATATGCAATTATACTCTTGTTTTATATGCATCTATACTCTACATTTGCGTTCAACAAACAACAACTCATAGATTTTCAAATAGACTAATTTCTACATTAAGAAAATGAAAAGTAAAATTTTTGGTTTGTATTGGTCTTTGAAGATACTCAAAAATTCGATCCCACATAAAAATTCCGATGGTTTATCAACAGGTACTGAGATGCACTCACTAAACTTAAGTTTTTGGATTTTTAATTGTTTATTTTTTTATATTTTGCTTCCATCTGGCAAACTGGTCAAAATTTTCATTCTGAAAAAACAGTAATTCTGAAAAAGTATTCGCATCACTTTTTGCATTAATAATTCAAACTTATTTTTTTTTCATTAAAACTTCATTATATTCAAAAACGAGACGCAAAAAATAAAAGTTGATTTTAAAATTTAAAGAAATACACTAAAACTTAATTAGTTTGTGAAATTAAAAACCTATCTTAGTTTCAAATCTAATATTTTTTCATTAAAGCTTCAATAAATTCAACAACGAGACGCAAATTTTTTTTCAGCGGCAAAAATAAAAGTTGAATTTTGAAAGTTAAAAAAATACACGAAAGCTTAACTAGTTTGTGAAACTAAAAACACATCTTAGTTTTACACATCATTAATTACACATCATTAGTTAGATATGTGGTTTAAAAACACATCATTAGTTTTACACATAATTTTCTAATTGTAGGTTCAATTTTGCCTCCGAAGAATTCATTTTACGTATAAGAGAGAAAATTCATAAAAATAACAAAATGGCAAGTTTCAGGGAAAAGTACGCAACGACTTAGGAGAGCTAGATCTTTACAAAAGTTTGGTTTTTCAAATCAAAATAAACTTATAACTTAATGAATTTTTGCCATAATAAAAAGTAATAATTTATTTTAAAAAATGGGTAACCAAAAACAACAAAAAAATTAAGCTCTGGAAACAGTATTTTTAAAATCTAAATCAGAGAAAACCCAAAAATCCAAAAGAGTTAAATCTACTTCAAGTTCCTTTTTTGACAGACAGCCAGACAATTACAAAAAAGTTTCAAGAAAATGAGTTTTTCAAATGATCCAGAAAACTGCCTTCAAAATGACAGACCTGCCTTAAAACTACAATCCTAGAGAATTCATGATTCCTTTAGGAAAAAGGGAGCAGCACACGTATGCAGTAATGAACAAATTCAAATAAAAACTCAACTCAGATACGTATCATCATCTTCTTTTGGAAACAAACTAAAATTTCGGTGCACTTCAAAGAAGACTGTTGACATAGACAATTAATGATAGAGAAGCGGTCGCTACAATAAGAAAAATGATGTCAAATTCAAATTGATAGAAAGCTTTTTGCTAATACTGGCAAAATTTTGGAAATTTTTTTTAAACAAACGTGATACTAGGTATTTCTCGAAACGAACCAACATTAATTTGCAATTCAGTTTTGTATTCCATCATCAAGAATGACTTTTAGTGCAATCGTTGAAGTTTTGGAGAATACTGAACCACTTTTCTCGAATGAAGAAAAAAAACTCGCAAATTTTTTATATATACATAAAGCTTTGATAATGCGAGTTTTTTCTTCGTCTCAAAAAATCTTCATGAGGCCGCAACTTGAGGACACAAAAAAAGCAAATCCTAAGAATATTACTTCAAATTAAAAAATTTCATGACATGCAATCGAAATACGTTCATTTTTGAGTTTCAATTTAAGAAGGTTGTAAAACTATAGCCAAATATGTACAACGCAAAAAATCATTCAAAAAATTAAAAATTCAAGTCTCAGAAAAACGCAAATTTCAGAAAATTGTTACCTATGCAAACTATGCAAATATCCAACAACCTTCAGTGCAAACTTTTGGTTTATAGAGAATAAAAAGGCCATGTTTTCAACCTTATCTTGAAGTCCATATGTCTATGTCAAGCACATTTTTCAGGTTTTAAAAGTATTTAACTCAGGTTGCACAAAATTTACTTTTTATTCGAAGTTCATAGTGATTACAGCAAGAGGTATCATTTTTTCAACGTAAATAGTTATCAATTTACATAGGTTTTTTCATAGTATAAGTCAATATATCAGTAGAACAAGGTCATGGTGGGTGTTTTTAAAATGAAGAGACTTGTCAATTGAGGAAAAATTGAGAAAGTTAATTGTCTTATGTGCTAGTATAGTTTCTCATATAAAAAAGAAATTAGTGAACAGCAATTATGGAAAATGGAAGTGATACGTTCACTAAAAAATCTACCAAAATAAGGTAATAAAAAATGGGTCCCATACATGTTTGAAAAGTTAAAAAAGTGCTTGTGAAAAGCAACGACAAAATTCAAGTTGGTTGCGAATCCACTGAAAAATTGTGAAATCCAATGACAAATAAGAAACAAATTGATTGCGGATTCCATGATAGACAGTGAAATCCAGCGACGTTTTGCTTCAATGGACTCCAACTGCAAAAACGCTTTTGTCTGCGGAATCCAAAACAAGCTTGTCTTAGCATTTTCGCCAAAGTCCGCAGTGTCAGCTGACTCCAAATTTATGCTCGCTAACTAATTTTCAGTTTTAGCACGTAGTGTTTTAACATTTGATTTTCGATTCCATCAGATTTCAAAGGCTTCTCGAAAAATTTATGCGTATCTGTTGACAATTTATGCGGAATCTAAACCACAACCAAAGTACCCGAGCTTGGCACCGTAAAGCAGAAATGAGTTTTCTGCTCGCCTGTTGATTGATTTGATTATTTAATTTAACAGCAAAACAAATTTTTCTTGGAAAGCTTTCTGACTAAAAGCAAAGCTTCCGAGATAATTGAGAACTAAGCCAAATTAGGTCATCAAAATATTGGGCTCCGATTTCGAAGAAAAAAATAAATTATATTATAAAAAAAGTTACAACAATAAAAACGGATTAAAATTTAGAGTCAATTTCCCCAAAAATTTGAAGTAGAATTGAATCAGTTCTGAGTAGTCACTGACTATGAGATGCATAAACTGAAAACAGTTTAGATCTAGGTCCACTAGATACATGATAATCATCCAAAGTCGTTTAAAGGTCGTTTAAAATTGACCAAAGGTCGAAAAGAGTCGACTACGATCGACCAAAAACGACCAGGGGAAACAGCGGGTTTTGTTCGACTCACAAAGTTGACAGCTGGCATTTTGGTACAGCAAGGTTGATAGCGGACAACAGTTGATCCATTTGGGCGATTATATATCTCGATCAGGGGTCCAAAAATTTGGCCAAAAAGCGTCTTTTTAGTGCTTTAGGAGAGCTCGGAAAATCAATTTGGACGACTTGGAAATTTGGCCAAAAAAGCGTCTTTTTAGTGCTTTAGGAGAGCTCGGAAAATCAATGTGGTCGACCTAAAAAAAGTCGTCAAAATTTTCAAAAATTTTCGAAAATCCGCCCCCCTGCAGAAAATCCTATATCCGCCCCTGATTTCGATCACCTCAACCCGAGAAATTGAGTTTCCTTGCGGGTTTCTTTTTCCTTTTCCCCCACCTCATATATGGACCACTTTTATGAGGTTGAGTATGAAAACTAAATATGTTTGTCCTGGTCTAATTAGTCTACATGTTAAGTTTTGTAACAATTGTAGAAAAATGACAAAAAAAATTAATCGTGAAACTCGAAGATGTGGTGAAAAGAAAAAGCCCCCCTTTTTTGAGAACTGGTTGTATAAATAAGATATAGTTACCATTCGAATGTTAAAAAGTTTTTAACGATCAGTTCATTGAGTATTGGACTTGATAGAGACCATCTTAGCAAAAGTTAGAGATAAAGATTGTGCAGTTGACCTTCATTTGATCTATCTCTGATTTAATTTGTGTTCTATTTTCAGATGTATATGTTTTTTCATTTTACATTCACAGTTGTCTTTTAAACTTAAGATAATCGGTATTATCAGTAAATAAACACATGAATTTGGTCAGCCATAAATGTACTGAAGCTTCTCTGGGTGTTTTCCGTTACCGAGTTTTTATTGCCGAATAGCATACTTTATCTGATACTTTCCAATTGATAAGCTCCTAAAATATAAAATATACGTTTTTTCCATCTTGAAACATAGTGGGAAATCTAGCAAAATTATTTTATTTTTTCATCGAGTATGGAAAACAAAATAGGGTGACTTTTTTTCTATAACACGATCGATTTTATAAGCAACAGTTTTGCAAAAAAAAAATTAGTTCAAAATTTAAATAGCATTTTATCTGCGACTTGTTTGAAATGTTATACGTGTTCAAGAAAATCATTTTGGTGAAATTGGGATTTCAAATACGTTTAAGAATCTCATCATAAGTTATTCGTCTGTAGCGGGGTAGATTAGGCGACCCTTCAAATCGGCTAAATCATTTCCGCTTTAAATCAATCATAGCAGGCTTTGGCTACAAAATATTCTCAAAAGCTCTGCTAAACTGAATTAGGCTGGTAATAAGGCCAAATTATGGTAAAGAGCCAAAAATATGTTACTTTGTTTGAAATAAGAAATTTGCGTGTGAGGGAACGATCGTCGGAAAAGCATTGAAAAATCTACATTTTTTTCTTAAATCTATCATCTATAATTGCAGTACTCAGGTTTTTAAATTTTGTGTTGTCGTTCTTTTTTATTTCTTCTCTTCATTGGGAAACAATTGTTTTCCCAAAATGAAGAAAAAACAAACCACAACAACTAATACAATATATCGACATAGAGAAACTTCAGTGCACTTAGGTGTTATGCAATAACAATTACGTAACAATTCGTTTTTCAGCCTGACGAAGGTGCACGACGAGTGGAATATTCTGTCTCTCGTTGGTCACATGGTCACGATTGATTACGATCAGTTCGGAAACTACTCCGAGTTGTGCTATAAACTCAAACTGAGGTATTTATAGTTGAAGTGCGGTCAAAAAGCAGACATGCCATAATCTAGACAGGTCGTAATCCAATCAAAATCGAGATGAGAAAACAAACGTATGAAAAAAGTCATTATCTCGATTCTGGTTGGCTTACGGCTTGTCTAACTTATAACATGTCATGTTTTTTAAGTAACATAATACTGTGCTCATTCACATTATGCGGACAAAACAAACAAAAACTGAAAGGCTGAACGCGTTTTCTCAAATTGGGATCAATTCATACCGAAAAAGATGAAGCCAAATTTACCGTGAACAAATCGTTTTGCGAAATACGGAACTAAAACTTTCCACAAAAAAGAGGCTTTTTGGTCTGTGTTGGTTTAATAAGAATTACGCTGAAACTACGAAGTTAATTTATAAAAGCCCAAAACGTACACATCCCAAAAAATTTGCTTAAGCTAAATCTCAAAATATTTGCGCAAAACGTTTAAATTTTGTTTTTAAGCAAAAACTTAGGGTTTTCTTAATAAAAATTACATCTTTTGGCGATCAAGCATATTGATTCTCTTATACAGTTTTTTAGAGATTTTTTCTGTCAAGAACTGTTTTGGGCTGCGTACGTGGCTCCTTCAGCGTTGGTTTTTTTCTTCAGCGTAAGTTTTTTCAGTGTAATTCTTGATTATTAAAGACAAACCAAAATGACCAACTTTTGGGGTAAAACTCTGGTTCCCAATTTCACAAAAAGTTAAAACATAATAACTTTTGTAAAACATAAAGCAACTTCTGTGAGAGCGTTTTTCACAATTTGAGAAAAACGCGTTCAAAACTTCAATTTTGCTCGTTTTTTTTCCGGATATTTCAAGCCATCACTGTAGTTATTGCCAAAATTTTGGCAATCTCTTTTCAAGTCAACGATTGAATTGTTCATGCTCATCGATGACGCCAGCAATTTGGCATAACTATAAATGCAGATTTTCGATTGCTCTATAAACAATTCATTTTAAAAGAGGGATCGGGTCTGAATGACCTCCGAAGAATGTGAAAACTTACGTATAAAATTTTAGTTTAGAAACCAGGCGCGGATCTAGGATTTTTTCAAGGGGGGGGGCGGATTTGGGTCAAATTGATTCTCTGAGTTCTCCCCAATCCTTATAAAGACCTTTTTTCGACCACATTTTCTGCGCCTCAGCAAAGTTCATCAAAAACAGGCTAATAAAAGGCGTTTTTAGGATTTTTTGGAGAATTTTGACCAAAAAATAACGTTTCGCGGCGCGCGCTCCCCCTTCAAAATTTGCATATATTGGCACCGAAGGCGCTTTTATAAAATTTTAAAGTTTGGTCAGCCAAAAATAGGTATCTCAAAATGGTACAAAAGAGGACCCTTTGGGTCAGAAGGCAGTCGAATTCCTGAGGGGAGAGGAGTGTTAGAACACTCCCCCCCCCCCCTAAATCCACTTCTGTTAGAAGCTGATCAGTTATTTGACAAAATAAAATTGGAAAAATTATCGGATTATATTGCTTCCGGAAAAAATAATAGTTTTTAGTTCCAGTAAAAGAAAATTTCCAAGAAACGGAAAGATATCCGCAAGGTGTTGCAAAACTTGGAATTTAGAGCTCGTGTTAAGGAAAAATTTCAGGTTTGAATCGATAAAAACTGTTTTTTAAAATCGATAAAACTGAACTTCGTTCACAGTCGGAAGCCTCTGTTCTACCACATCAACTTCATTCTTCCGACCATCTTCATTGGGCTGCTCGGAACATGCATGTTCTGGATCCCAATCACCAGGTTATTTTCTTATTAAGATGAATACCAACCCTTATTGTGTTTAAGAATAGAATTTTTCGTGCTCCAGAAAGTTCAGAATTTCGCCGTTGAATCCTAATTCATACTGAAGTAAGAGCACTAAATATATAAATTTTGTACTAGATGTTAACATCATTGTACATTTGGAAATAAAACACTGATATTGCTCAAAATGTTGCCTTTGTCCGCTTAAAAAGAATTTCTTAAGTTTGTAAAGCTGGTTAATCGATCTCCGCCTAAAAAGTATTGCAATATTTCAGTTTTCAAAAACTTTTTGTTTCAGTGGCGAGAAAATTTCCTTCGGCATCACTTTACTACTTGCGCTAACTGTCAATCAACTAATAGTTTCGGAGAAACTCCCAGTTACGAGTGAACACTTACCCTTACTTTGCGTTTATTTCCTCTGTACCATTGTTCTGAACTCATTCGCTATATGCGCATGTTTAGTGGTTTATAACATCCATACAAACGCCAGTCCTTACCCTGTACCTTATGGACTGAAATTCTTGTGTTTCAAAGTTTTAGATCCAGTTTTCTCGTTTCGGTTTTCGGCTTTTTTCAACAGTGTTTCGATTTGGTGTAAAGTTAAAACGCGAAAGTGGAAACGACAACGAGCTTCAAAGTTCTGCCGCAGAAGTTACCCGTCGAGTTTTGAAGATTGCAATACAGTTAGGTACAAAAGTGTGATAGATATAACCCTAGAGAATTTATGTATTTTTTATAACATTTAACCTGGTTCTATAGAATATAAGAGCTTCTAAAATAAAGATTACTAGCTTGCGTTCTCAAAAAATCAGAAAAAATGGGATAAATTGCTTAGATAAAAAAATAAAATATTCCACAGAGAGAAAGCATGTGGTTTCCTAAAATAGAATTGGACCCTAAATTAGGAGCGGATCTAGGAATTTCTCGAAGGGGGTTCACAAGGAAAAAAAAATTATGTCGAGTTTTGTTACTTCGTCGTCAAAATTTATAAGCTATTGTCTCCTTCCTACCTGAGAACGCCAAAAAGGCTTAAACTAGAAATCACACCCCCTCCCATTCAACCTAACCCACTGAATAGTATGATGAACAAAAAATAAAAGCTTCTCTTTTTTGTCAGTAGTTTAGATCAATTTACCTCTCATAATTTCTTATGGCCTATCTATCAAACTTTTTCCTTCATCTAGTATGGTCCATGCCAATAATAACAACCCAGAGGCTAAACTATACGACCAGAAAGTACCAGTTGGTCCAAAATTGAAACCGAACAGCAAATGGAAAGTAGTCCAGAGATGCATGCGCCAGGGAAAACTCCGGCGGGATTTATGGAACGATGCCGGGTTTATGGGAAGTCACTTATCCAACGGATATGCTTCCAAAAATGGAAATAGTGGAAATTTTGACCGTGAAAAAATGTTGAAATCTATTCGAGATATTGTTGACCAGATGGCGAAAAACAAGGAAAATTGGATGAGAGTTGCAACTGTTATTGACAAAACTATGGGAGTTGTTTATTTCGTTACCATGGGAACTGCTGATTTTATTTTGTGGTACACTCTAACATGGTGTGCGGCCGAAGATACTTCAACGTTCAGCTAATCGACAGCTCACAAAGTCGAAAACAAACGAAATATCGCTGCCCGCAGTTGATAAAATATTGCACAATATTAAATATTGCAGCCCACGGTTGCACAATATTAAAAATGAAACGAAATTATTTAATGCTCAGAAATGGAACAAGTGGCAATTGTTTTTGAAGAAAAAGTAATTCGATGATTATATCTTGCCTTGGTTTGACTAAATGACTTTTAGATTCTGTGGTGTTTAGATTTTGTAACTTTGTTAGTATTTAGAACTTTTCAAACGTCTTTCAATGCTCCTAGAATAAACTCAGTAAATGAAGATTATTTTTGCAGATATTCTTTTCAACCAATCAGATTCCAGCATCCTGATCAAACTTTAAAGTAACAGCAAGGATAGCTGCTTAATGTGCAAATAGCACAGAATTTTCCGACCATAGTCTTTAGAAAACTACAAACAATTTTTTTTTCATATATGTGTAGTTTTTTCAGCATTGGGTGATTAAAAAAAGATCTGGCGTAAGACTTTAACTTAAGTATATTCGAGATTATTAGTAGTATAGGCATATTCAAGGAAATGAAAAATTTGTTACGGATAAAGTTTTTTTAAAAAATCGATAGTCTTTAGAAAACTACAAAAAATCGATAGTCTCTAGAAAATCGATAGTCTGTAGAAAACTAAGAAAAAAAGTTTTTTTTTCAAATGTGATTTGTTTTTTTTCTGCATGAGGTGATAGAAAAGAATCTGGCGTAAACACTTGATATCATTAGTAATATACGCATAATTGACAAGACTAATTGTAGAAAAATGACAAAAATAAATAATAAAATTTTATATATATATATATATATATATATATATATATATATATATATATATATATATTTGATTTCCAGCAAGTTTTTTTGCAGAAAGTTTTGATTGTTTTTTTGAAGTTTTTGATTTCAAAATGACGCTGCAATCCTCAAACATTTGTTTCATTTGATTAAATATTAGGTTTTCAGGGCTTAAATTAAGCATAAACATTCTCTTGTAAGTCTTAGAAATTGAAATAGTTCAAACCAGTTTTTCTCGATACCGAGTAAACTTCTTTATTTTTTAGATGTTGTTCGAAAAATGATTGAAACGGTTTCAAGTTGGCTCATCACCTGACCCATTCCAATGCTTATTTATGATACCTGCTTGGCCGTGGAAAGCAAAAAAAGGAAAAGAAAAGAAAAAACTAAAACACATCCGAATACAAAGTTCCTCCCCATTTTTTGGATCAAAAAGAGCATTTTTTAGGCCATAAAACAGAAATTACCCATAACAGCAATTTTTTTCAGCATGCTTCTGACTTTAAGAGAAAAAAGGAAAACCATTTTCAGCATAACCAAATTATTTTAATTTATTTTTGGTCACAGCAATGATTGTTTTTCTAAATCAAACCTCTGTTATTGATTCCTAATTACAATTTATCCGATTTTTTTCCACTTCATCTTTTTGTTTATGCTTCTTTGTAAATGAAAAATTTCACCTGGTGTCAAGGTTTGAACAATTTTTTGGTATCAAAAATAGGATGACACAAGAATAAAGACTTTCAGAGTTACTACTGAAACAAGATTCGTTGCTTTCTTTTTTTCAAAACACATCAATGATTTTCTAAGTTTACTTGAATCGACGTGAAAACTCAGCCATTGAAACATTTTTCACGAACGCGTACTTGCATAATTATAGCAGCTTTTTTATAACTTATGAAACTGTTCAAGAATAATTTTTGAAAAGTGTTTTTTTTTAATTGCTCTGGTTTGTTCATTTTTCGGATTTGTTTCCTCAGCATCACAACATTTTGACTTTATAGTCAAGACTACTCGAGTAAGCCAATGAATCAGAAACGGTTTAAGAAGGGATTCAGGCATTGGACATCCCGAAGAACCAAAGGATCCCCCTATGTCCTGTTTTTTGTAATAACCATTTTTGCTAATGGCTACAAAAAAAATTTTAAAATGCCTTTAAGGTCAATTCACACTATTTTAAAGGCGAGAGCACGCGTCAAAAACCGCAACATTTTGGACAAACCTTTCCAAAAAGTTTCAAAAGCTTTTTTGGCCTGTTTTTTTTTCGTATTTTTTATTTAAAATTTCGTGCAGCGCAGAAATTTTGAAAAAAAACAGGGCCTTTTTACTGTTTTTGGAGAATTCTGAAAAAAAATGGTTCGACTTAAAAACAGCCGACAAAACTTTCAACAGTTTTTCAAAAAACTGCCTCCCTCAAGATAATTCTAGATCCGCCCCTTCAATTTTTTTGAAAATCTCACCTCACACTCTGAGTATTATGCAAAATACAAATAACTGCCTCAAATTAATTCAGATTTTTTTCTGAACGGTGTTCGATCGACGCTCACGCTTTTTTTTTCATTTAATGTTTTTGATTTGATAGCACGCGCAAGATTAAGATGCTGAAATGTGTCTAGATTAAGTGTCAACACCGCACAAATTTTGCCCTCAAGTTTTTACCGCTCACGATTTGTTCACTTTCCTCCGTCTTTTTAGGTGTTTTCTACATCTGAAAACCCAGACCTTACGATGATGTTTCTTTCTCGTGCATTGTTTTTTATGTGCGATCATTGGAGGTTTTGAACTTTACTATTTGTCTACTTTTCCTGTAACTTTTTGAGTTGCCGTTCAGTTTAAGCGACTCAACCATTTCAGAGTGTAATAATGCTAGCTAGCTGTTGAAACTTTTGCATTCTGATTAAAACCTCGCTTTTACCTTGCGCGTGGATTAAGGTTTTCACAAAAAATCAAAATTATCAATTGTTTTGGGATCGCTTCTTCAAAAACATTAAAACGACAGCTCATACACTCTGATCACTCTATAACAAACTGTTTCAATTTTTCACTTAAGCAATCACGACTTCTAGGGAGCAATTTGTAACAAATTTTAATTTTTTTCAAATAACTTATTGCTGTCATGAGCTATAATCTGATAAGTTTTTTTTACTTTCGGTATTCTTGTTAAATAAACAGAGGTTTAAAAATCGCCAAATTGGCAAATTGAAAAATAAAACCTTTAATGCGTAACCAAAGCAGTCAAATATCTGTTTAGAAACTCTAATGAGTTTAGACAAGTTATTTGCTTCATATAAATGTTTCATTTTCTGAAAGTGTACGCGTTTCAATTTGACAGTTCAGATGCTGAGCAGAATTGCGAAAAAAAAACAAATTTGATTAATTTTGAAATAGTAATAAAAATTTCTTTCTTATTTTTTTTTAGCGACATCAAGTCATTATAAAATCATCTGAGTAGGTTGAATGGATTTTCATTTTAGAGCCCTCAAATCTTCAAATGAACGACTTTGAAAAAGCAACCACATGTTGAGAAAACCCTGCAATAAAACTTTGCTTTTCAGTCTAAGTTTGACCGGATAAAGCAAGTGAGTAACCTTTGTATTACAAAAATCTGTTACTCAGACAAGAAACATTTGTAGATAAAAAAGTATTGAAGATTATCACTTCTGTGGCTATCAAACGTAGAAAAAGACAGAAAAAAAATATTTCATAAATTGAGAATTTTACGGAATTTTTTTTTTCAATATAATAATTACTTTTGAGATATTTCAATTAAACATTGCAGTTTATAACTTACATTAAACTGAGTGAAGTAGCTACTACAACAAAAAAAGACGCCAATAACTGTGCAAATAGCACACACTTTTCAGACCATAATATTAAAAAGTATACATATTTTTTCATACTTGTGATTATTATTCTATGTCAAAGTATTATCCGAAGAAAAAAGTAGAAATAAGGTATGAGCGACAATCGTAGTCAGAAAGGCCCATTAAAAAAAACTGTTTCTGTAGAAAATTGACTAGAAAACAAAAAAAATCCAAAAAATTAAGAAATTTATAAAAAATTTTATGCCGAAAGTAAAGCTTAAAATTTTCCAAAACAAACCGATAACTTTACCCGGTTTTTCTCGACACTGCGATAAAACGTTTTCTAAGTTTTAAAAATTGTTCGAATGGACTGGAAGTGCTCCAATATGAAATATATCTTGACTATTCCATGTTTATTTGTTGTACCTGAGTTTGCGTGGAAAAAATATGAAAAAAACTGAAACACACCCAAATACAAAATTCATCTGCATTTTCAAATGGTGGAAACGAAAACAAATATGGTTTTTAAGATGCAGTTACATACTACAACCTTATCAAAAGTTGGCTTACATTCGTGCTGCAGCTTGATTTTTTGAAAATAATCTGAAATACAGATTCATAAACAGTCTCCTTGAACTGTCTAAAATGGTTCTTGAACTCAGACAGGAATGATTAGAACAAAACCTCGAGCTCAAACAAATTTTCCTGCTTTGTTCACAACAATTTTTGAAATATCAAAAAAGGAAAGGAGAAGAGCATACATTTTAGCTCAGTGAGTAATCAAAAGAATAAATGGAAGAAAATAGTACAGTATGGTACTTTTACAACTGATTTTTTCATCAAAACTAGGTAGAGAGACATAATTTATCTATAAAACGTGTGACGCTAAAACAATTAAAGTTGAAAAAATTTAAGGTAAATGCAATATGTAACGTAGTATTTTAAGCAGAGTAAAAAATTTTTTATGTTGTTTGTTTGATCTTAGGCGTACAAAATGAGCCAGATTTTAATGACTTTATTGCTTTATTAGGAAGCAAACATTTCCATAACAGTTTGTGATAATCCTATGCTTCGTTCTTAATCCTATGCTTTGTTCTTAGGCCTGCAAGATTGGCGTTGAATAAATAATAACAATAAATAAAAGTTTATTAATAATAATAATTCTCCAAGGTTACTGTGGCAACAGTACTACACAGTACCACATTCCCCGGAGGACAACAAAATTTTATATAGTACCATATAAAACTTTAAAATACAATATAAGTTTTAATCTCAGTTTACTACCAATGTTTGAGTTTGTTTAACTTTCTTTGTTTGTCTTTTTCAATTCCACTTTATTCCTCGCAGCATTCCACGATTCAGAAATGTCCAACGATGTAGCCCCAAATCTTCTTTTGAACGAATGTCTCTCTAATAGGCCAAATGTTTTATTTACCATCGTTGTTTCACTGTTACCAGTTTTAATCGTCGCTAATCTCGTCCTGTAGGCCTCGAGGGCTGCCAGATTTAAATCCGTAATGTCGTCCTCGCAAGTATTCATTTTTACAGAATGGGACACTGGGCTGCCATATCTCTTTGGCCCATGATTCTTCGTTTGTCTATTGCTCCGCCTCACTGTTGTCTGTTCTTCTTCTTTGTCCGACTCAT